AAGTTCGGGCCTGGCGATTCGAATATGGCAACCAACAGCGGTCCTATATCTCCTGGATCAGGTGGCAGCCGGATAAGATCAATCGGTCGAATAGTGTGATTGCAGTCTGGATCTGACGTCTGCACGATGGATCTCAACATGTGAAACTCCCGCTCGAGTCTCACGACGTGAGACGAGACTCGAGCCACTACTGGCGCCCATACTGGTTCGTGATCTGCACGAGACAATGACAGTTCGCTACTCGATTCGCTCAGGCTACTCCTCCAGTGATGGCGGAAAAACGGACGGGACTCGGCGCGCGGGGAGTTACGGGCTAGGCTAGATGGCCCTGAGGAGGTAGCGGCGGGGGTCGAGACGTCGGATTCTGCACAATGACGAAGACCGAGGACATGCCAATGGTTGTAAGTCGAATGGAATGGCTCAACGGACTGATCCCAAATATAACCGGGGAGCTGCGCAAGCCTCTCGAACAGTCGTGCTGGTGGGAGCGGCAGGTCTTCCCCGAGAATGTGGTTATCCTCCTCCATCTCAACCAACTATCCAAGAATACCTTTTAACTGAAATTTTCTTCTTTTATCAGACAATGGCCATACGTATTCGTCCCAGAGGGCGGATGCTGATGTCGGCTCAGAGAAGACGCTGCGTTTGAAGAGCAGGCATAGGGACGGAAACGGCTCTGTCGAATCGATCGAGGCTAATGAACGTCGGGCAGGATCATCGATATCAATCGTGCGCTTCGCTTCGACAGTCGGCGGCGTAGACTAGATGATGCATATACGTCGAAACAGACGTCACGATGCCGCTATTATCGTTCCCCTGGAACCATATGAGCGTTCAGGACGGGGGCATGAATCTAACATTTGATTATCAGGTGAAACTTTGGTTGGGGTCTGACGGCCTGAGGCCAACAATTTCCCGAATCAGCAACTCTTTAGTCAGCCGTAGTGGGGCATCACGAGACTTGGGCTCATGCTCAGTGCATGACTGCTACCTCTCTACCATACGTAGATTAACAAGGAACAAAGCGTCTGAATCAGCATTTAACCATAAAACCCCAGATAGATCGCATTCTGGATGATGCTTAGGGACATCATCCGGACATGTGACTAGACTACCGTCAGTCAACAGCCCACTTAGTGTAGTCTAAGGACATGTCATGATGACGGGGAATATAGGCAAACTCTGGGACATTTCAATAGAGAAACCTTAGGGTCAAGGTTGGAGAATCCTAAGAGCATATGCACTATTGATTGTCCTTGGGCTTTCTTTTCGTTTGCGCCATGGACTAGATAGTTGGAACATGCCCGTGTCAAGATACGGTTACTGGCATACTGCTGCAGCTATGTGGGTCAAAACTAGGGGCTTCTTACTAGTTACTTGAAGTTGTTGATTCTTTCAAAAAAGCGGCCCGAAATCAACCTATTGGGGCTGTGGCGCAATTGGTAGCGCGTGGTACGTTCCATCAACAGTCTTCCTCAACTCGATCAATTTGTTCTAACAAATTCCATAGAGACTCCAGATCTCAAGGTTATCCGATCGAGACGGGTCAGCCTCATCCTTTTTACCCCCTTTTTTTGGAGTTTTATGGCCTTGAAGCAGTAGTAGCAAAAGTGACCCCAATCCCTCTGGGCAAATGACGCCGAATCTCGAACGAGCGAAGTCCCTCTCTAATACGAAGTAAGAAACAGTGACTTGAACAAAGAAAAGTATGAGATGGTAACATCAACACATTTAGCCATGATTAAGTCTCGACCACTGTGCCGAAGTCGGCCATAATGATTCTCATAACCAGTCACCGTCACTTAATATATGTAGAAGATTTCCAGAAATGTGGAAAGGCGTATGTGCATGAACTATTATGCATGGTGACGACTGTGCCTGGTTGCCCATCCAGTATTACTAGTCCTCGCAACCATGACTATTGCCGTAAGCTGTAGTCGCGGGTCCATGATGACGGCGTATTGCCGATCCTAGCCACCTTGTACTTATTTCCCGCCAGGCACTGAGTGCCAATGTTGGTGGACATAACAAAGTGGAGAGTTTACGTACCAAAGCATTGAGCATAACGACAGCGAATGAAATGAAGCGAAGCAGATATGGAACAATGCATGATACCGGCCATGCTGAATCTGTCCAGTCAGGGATATGCATAACGCCAGATATTCGTTTGGAGACCTCAACTGACTCGAGTCCAGCACGAGGTCGGTCTAGACATATTGCTCCGTAACGCGGCACATACAGCACTAATGCCAAATGACGACACAGATTATAGCAAGGCTGACATCTGATACACACTTACCCTTTAAGCAGCCTCGCCAGCTTTGGATGAAACCGTGGAGAATAAAATACATCTTCAAAAATCGTGGCCCATTAATGATACCTTTCAGATAATAACGAGGCTGGGGTTTATTCCAGTTCCATCAGTTTAAGGTGAAGTCAGATGTGGCAAACCAGCCGCCGCCTGACCACGCGACAATGTCTTTACCTAAGGTAAAGGCAGTAGTCGGCTAGTCGTATCAATAACGGTAATCGGTGAGGCAAGCAAGTGGAGAGTTGACTTTCGTGTCTTGAAATGGCCATATATCCATATGCATGCGTCATTGGTAGCCGATTACCTGGAGCCGTAGCGCGCGCGACGCATACTACTACTGAGTGGACGGAATACCCTTCTCTATACCTGGGTAGATATTGTCATCTTTGGCATCAGGGGGAATGTTGATCAACTTTGGAGCCATCAGCTTCTTGGAGTTCCTACTTAAGTGGACAAGTGGATAACTAGGCAGTATGTCACTTGCTGGATTTGGTCCTGTCTAGTTCTCCACTTCGCCAATCGCCCGTACATAATCCAACTTGCAGGGTTGAAGTTGAGTATGACCAAGGCAACACTAGCGCACAGAACTAGCTAATTCATGAATAACTAGTCAGGGGTCGCACCGTGTCGATATCGCAGGGTTAGGGAGAATTAGACAGATAGAATACTATCTCACTTACTACTTAGGGCAAGTCACCACGGATCGGCGCTCTAAGAAGACATCCATGGAACCAGGAACTGGCCCATTGTATGACGCACCCCATAGACTACCTTAATACCTATTTACCTCATCCTCAAGCCCAGCCCGTCGTGTCTAGGGAATGGGGTCGTTTCTAGACGCGACATATGAGAATGTCAGTGACAAGAGAGAAATATCTATTTGGTACGTTTACTTTGTGAGGTGGCAGATGTGTTCTTATCATCATCCTTTTGTCGAGTGGTTCAGATGACATACGCTACTACTGATGAGTGATCATCTTTTTCTTTATGAATGCAAACTCTCTGTGACGAAATAGTTCTGGCCACTCTAGGTACAGTCTTGATGGTTCTCTGTACCAACCACCCTTCTACAGGTACAGTACACCAGTACATAGGTAGCACTTTCAGTCTCAGAAGAACAAATGATCCACAGATAATAGTACTTACTCAGATTTTTCATACCTGTCGCATTTTTCTTGCCCTTATTTTCAACACTCACTACTCTATACTAAAAAGTAACAGATGAGTGTCTAAATGCCACAGAGTTATCCAGGGTATGGAGTAGTTCACAGTACTCTAGTCGTGCTCCGTCGCCCCATCAGCATCCTAGCTCTGTATCCACCTCCACCCAAGCCCTGTCCTTACCACTTACCGGTTACCTACCATTTAGGTACCAGAACCAGAACCAGAACTAGCCCCAGTTCCATCCTCAGTAATAGCACTAGCATCATCACCATCATCATCACAACCACCACCAAGCTCAGCGGACAATCCTACTTCCCTTCCGGCTGCCATTATTCTGTGTTCACCGGCCTTTGCTCCACCCTCTTTGTTGCTCTTCTCTCTCCTCTTCCCTCCGTTCCCTTCCTCCTCCTACCTGGACTGGGTGCTTCTCTCTCACCTAACAGCCTCATAACTTGTTATTAAATTCTGCATGCTCTTTTTTTTTTTTTTTTTTTAAGTCTCACATAAACTATTATTCTTGTCTCTTGTCACAAGTCTCTTATCTGGACGGTCACAAGTGTCATTCCATTCTTCCCTTCTGGGTCCCAGGAAACTTTTCAGGTTCCCGCGGTCTGGTCACTGATTTAGCCCCCCAAGGGACGCATACGTCATAGGCTCGGGTTCTTCCTCAAACCCCCCCGGAGAAGGATCAATTCCACCCAGCCTTAACTCAAATCGACGATCTCTACCGTCTACCTTACTACTACCTCTATGGTTCTATGATATTATCTACTGTCCATACAGAAGTGACAGTACCCCGGGTCAAAAATATTATTAATAATAATCATAATAAGAAGACAGAACTTTGCTAGCTCTGCCAAGTGCCTTCAGTGTACTCTACTGTGCAGTCCTCCACTTCTACAGGTCAGTACCTACATTTAACTCTTGTGATCGTGATTATTTTTATTTTCCTTTGTCACCATGCTTAGGGTACTCTTGCCTATCCACTTTGCTTGATCTAATTCTGTCATAATTTTTTCCCCTGCCTTCTGCGAACTGGAGGATCACCCTCACCACCACCGACCCTACTACCTATGCTGATTATACACTGTACACCGCTTTAACCCACCCTCTGAGCACTTGCCTTTCCTACCCTTATTTTTTCCGCTCACTTTTTCTCCCATCGCCTGTCCTCTCTGACGTCCTCGGACTATAATCGACATTTGTTATTTATTTTCTTCCTTTCTTTCGTTCTTTCTTTTTTATTTAGCTCACCTACAGGTACAGCAGGCCTGTCCGGATTTATCCCATCGCGATATATTCTTTGAATCACCTGATTCCATTCAAAGAACTAGTTACCCTACTTAACTCTTCCATTCGCGCGTTTGCCTTCCCGTTTGCAACAGCACTACGAGCTGCCAACCGTTTCCTATACCCTGCGATCGCGGACCTGTCCGTCCGAGAGATGAGTGCCACATTTTCCTCCTGTGGAGTCGGATTCGCCCAGGAGAATTGAGTATCTGTCCGGCGGTGGAGGGAGTTTAGCATGGGGGAAGTCCAAAGCATGAGGACATCTCCGATTCCATCACCGGCCGAGGCTCCTTCGCCTATTACCGCACCGCATCTTGATCCCTCTTATTCGGTTTCGAGTCTTGCTCATGGCAGAGATGGCTTTACTGGGGAAGGAATCCCGGCGATAGATAGCTTCGCGCACAAATCCCACGCTCGCTCGCCTCCGGGGTCGCATGACGAGACTGCAAAAGCAGAGAGTATATTATCATCCGCTATAAAAGCTCACGTCAATCAGGAGAAGGGCTCTCACGAAGATGGTCGAACCTCTCAGACCCTCAAGGAACTTCGGAGACAAATGGAAGAATTGCTTGTTTACCAACAGTTGCAGCAATCGCAGAATTCCAATTCGACAGATCACAGGGAGCAGACTTCCATAACCTCTGCGCCGCACGAATCAAGCAAGAAACGGCGCCTATCAAACCTTTCACCCCCGAAATTCTCCCTTTCGTCTACCGGGGCAGTAGCTTCTACTTCCCATTCAGATTCGACCGGATCTGGCGGCACTGTTAAAGCTTTCGATTTAGAGGATGATGCCGAAAACCCCATTGGTCAGACACCGTCGTATCCCTTCCCGAAGATACATGCACAGGAGACGACGAAACAGCCGCAAAATCATACAACTCCTACTGGTCACTTCAAGTTGACGCTGCCGGCTGAAAAGGTGAAGATTCACATGACACCCTCAGAACCTAAAGACGAGCGGAGGTCGGCCACGGTCAAAGCAGCGGTGGTGTCACAGAGCGCATTCCTCCCGCCAGACCATAAACCTGTACCTGACGACCCGTCATACCCTGCCCCGAACCTTTATGATATTACATTGCAGCTCAATGCTGATCCTGGGCTTGAGGGTTGGTGGGCAAATGTTGTCGATATCTTGAAAACTCACTATGGCGCTGATCGAGTGTCGCTCGCTGTACCCGGTGACACAACAGATCTTGAAAACGTTCCTTGGGGCCAGAAGGCGGTTTACAATCGTGATTCGACATGTGACTTCGAGCAGAGTGAGGACACAGCACCGGCTCATAGCTCTTCTCACAAAGAACCTGGGGACGTTGCAAACATAAAGAAGAAGGAAGCCTCCGGGAACGGCAAAATTGCACCCGCGACTGTTCCGTCAACTCTCCCCAAGCGACCGTCACTCCTATCTAGACACTCGTTTGCAGGCTTCGGTAAGGACAGGGCGGTCTCTACTGGATACGAGCCAAGTAGTAGACTTCAGTATGTTCAGACACCGAAGGAAGCTGCAGCTCTGGATAACAAACATCCGCGCCGAATTGAGATGCCGGCCGTCGCCGAACATGAATCTGTTTCCGAGCGAGGAAACGTCGCAACCGATGTGCATTCTTGCGACCCTTTGAATCCCGCTCAATGTAACTATCGGCAGGCTGTTTTCCCTATACCTAGGCCTTTGGAGGTGGAAGCCGATCCTCTCATCAAGCGAACAGGGGTTGTGAAACTCTTTGGGCGCACCAAACCTGTTGTGCTAACCCGAGAGTACTCAGAAAACCCAGCCGCTGCACCCAAAACGCCTCATGATCAATTGGCTCAAACTCCGGAAGACCGGGTCCAAGTTACTCCTACAACAGGACCTCCTAGGCCGCCTCAGCCAAAGTTGCACTATGCTCGCGGCAGATCGGCTTCCAACGTCAGTGGGTCCGATCCTTATCCGCAAACCATTCCGTTGATGCAAGTATACGACGAATACGAACAAGTTCCGCCGTCCCCTTGGTCGCAATCCCCTGCGCCTTCTCCTGCACCCCGTATGCACGCAGATCAAAACCCTTTCTTTACCAGCCACACCGTCGACGAAAKCGCATTTGCACAGCACCCTCCCCCTCATGACTACTCAAATACAGAACCCTTAGAAGCAATAGGGGTGGACCTGGCTAAGTCGGTGGTTCATATTCCGCTTCTGCATGCCGGACGCTCCAAGGAGACATCGCCGTCTACTCTGCGGTTCCCCGTTGCAATCATCTCTATACTGTCGCCAATCATACCCTATCCTTCGAATCTCAGGCAGTCATTGGCATATCTTATGCCCCACCTCACGGCTTCTTTCGGTCTCGCGCAACAGTATAGCCAACTTGAGCGGCAACTTACTTCGCACATGCACATTCCTCGCTACGGTCATATCCTCGGTCTAGGTGGAACATTTTCCGATGAAAGCAGTGAGCTGGAGCTTGTTGCGGGACTCAGTGGACATGTCAATTACGCATTTGCGGATGACGTCTCTCTATCCGCCCGCGCTAGCCTTTCCAGTCCTGGAGAAGCATCAAACTCGACAAAGTTCAGTCCTTCAATATCTAATCTTGGAACTCCGGCACTCGACCTTACAAATTCCGGGGCTCTCAATTCCGGCGAGTCGCCCGGGCCTGCTGCGAGAGGTAACAGCGAAGCGGTGGATAGTTATTTCAACGTTCATCCGTCCAAGAGCTTCCGAGGTGCCATCAATCAACACCGGAATAAAGTCTCCAAATCGAAGAAACTCGCTGCATCCACGCCCACTTCCCCTGGCAGGATATGGGAAAACCGCTCTGTAGATGAAGAGTTGTCCGCGCAGGACCCCAACGTCGTGATAGCGTCCCCATTACAGGATTCTAAGGTACCACCTATCATATCGCCGACGCAGGGATCCAACCGTCACCCTTCCACGAACTCTATCTATTCGCAGTTGCAAAGGGAGATTCCGCGGCCGTTTTCTGATACAGTAGCACAACTCATGCTGAATTCAGTCCCTCTTCACMTCTTCCTTGCTAAGCCTCAAAGCGGAGAGGTCATTTGGACTAATTCCAAGTTCGATGCCTACCGGAGAAGTCAACCCCAAGAACAGAAGTCGAGGGAACCGTGGCAAAATATACATCCTGACGAGCGCGATCACATCTCGCAAGAATGGTCAAACGCTCTACGCACTGGTTCACAGTTCACAGAACGTGTGCGCGTCAAGCGATTCAATGATGATTCGGCGTACCGTTGGTTTATATTCCGAGCCAATCCCCTGCTGTCGTCTACAGGCGAGGTGTTGTATTGGATTGGGTCTTTCCTTGACATACATGAGCAGCATGTTGCAGAACTGAAAGCCGCACAAGAGCGGCAGAAGTTCGCGATCGATGCTAAATATCGAGCATTCTCCAACTCGATCCCACAAGTCGTGTTCGAAGCAACTGAACATCGGGGCCTTATCTTTGTGAATGAGCAGTGGCATCTCTACACGGGCCAGAAACTTGAGGAGGCTCTTAACTTCGGCTTCGCAAAGCATGTGCATCCTGACGATTTGGAGAAATGCGGCCCGCTCTCCGTTTACATTGCAGATTTGGGAAATAAAGCGCCCGCCGACCCTACTGGGAAGGAAGATTGTGCTGGAAAAGAGAAAGCAGGATCCCCGGGGCGACAGTTCAGCCAGGGGGTCACGCCTGCATTGGCTGAGCTCGTTAGGCTTGGGATCGCTTCGGTGCAGAAGGACGAGAATGGGCGAGTGTTCTATTCGACAGAGATGCGCCTTCGTTCCAAAGGTGGCGACTACAGGTGGCATCTTGTACGCCTGGTTCGAGTTGAGACAAGCAGTTTTGGCAGTGGAGAAGCCTCCTGGTATGGCACTTGCACCGATATCAACGATCGCAAAAATCTGGAGAGGGAACTCAACAAGGCAATGCAACAACTGAACAATCAGATGGAGTCGAAAACGAAATTCTTCAGCAATATGTCACATGAGATCCGAACTCCGCTCAATGGGATTCTTGGCACCATTCCATTCATCCTTGATACGCAGCTTGACACTGACCAAAGGCGAATGCTCGATACCATCCAAAACAGTTCGACTAACTTGCGCGAGCTGGTGGACAATATCCTCGATGTCTCTCGGGTTGAGGCTGGAAAGATGTCCTTGGTCAACTCCTGGTTCCATGTCCGGTCTGTGGTTGAGGATGTGATAGATACCATTTCTTCTAGAGCTCTCGACAAGGGACTCGAGCTCAATTACTTGATGGATGTGGATGTGCCACCTATGGTAATTGGCGATAGGTTCCGCATCCGGCAGGTCCTCATCAATCTCGTTGGCAACGCGGTGAAATTTACCGCTCAAGGAGAGGTGCACATCAGCTGTAGTATCTATCGGGATGCTTCGGTGCCTTTGAAGGAGACGGAGTTGTTATTGAGTTTCGATGTTGTCGACACCGGGAAGGGATTCAGCGCCAGGGACGCCGAGCGCTTGATGCAACGGTTCAGCCAACTAGGAGAAAATGCCTCTCAGCAAAACGCAGGTAGTGGACTGGGGCTATTCTTATCCAAGCAGCTGGTCGAAATGCACGGGGGGCGGTTAACTCCCAGTAGCAAAGAGGGACAGGGTGCCACATTCTCGTTCTTTGTCAAGGTCGATGCTCCGCCTCCTCCTTCACCGGATGACCCTCGTCTAGTTCGACAGTCTTCGAGCACGTCCGATCTCGGAACGCAGTCAAAACCCGAGTCGCTGCAGAGACTGCTCTTCTCTAGAGAATCTGCTGACTCCAGGGGATTAGATCCAGCTGATCTGTCTCCCGCCCTCGAATCACCCCTCTCTCAGCCATCCAGTAGCTTCGACCCCTCAGTGCGTTTTGCATTCAACAACTTTTCCGAGCGCTCGTCGATGTCGTCGGCTATGCCGACCCCAGAGATCCATGGCACAGACCCACTGCCAAAAATTGAGTCTGCTAGTCATCCCAATCAGTCAGATGACAACCAGAAACAAGGGATAGCACCGACTTCCTCCGACCAGGATGCTTCACGCTCCCCGTATCGGCCCTCGGCGTCAGGATTGCAACCCCCGGCTAGGACATACCAGGTCTCCGATACTCCTCGAAGCCTCTACTCCATCGTCATCCTGTGCCCATTCAACCACGCCCGCAAAGCCATTAAACAGCACATCGAGCAGGTGGTTCCCCATGATATTCCATTCTCGATCGCATCCATGCCTGACGTTGAAGACTGGAGGGACTCAATGAATGATGGTGCCGTATCTCAGCCGACTCACTTGGTCCTTAACCTACCAAGCGTTGAGGAGGTGTTGGATATGATCTCGTATGTCGCGGACTGTGATCAGGCCACTGCTCCCGCGCTTGTCATCATTTCCGACCTCGTCCAGAAACGTCAGATCAATTCGAGGTTGAAGGATCTGTCCTCGAGCGGAAAGCGCGTATTTACCGTTCCGAAACCGGTCAAGCCATCGGCATTCTCGGCTATATTTGACCCCGACAACCAGCGCGATCTGAGCAAAGATAGGAATCAAGACATGGCCCGAGAGATCAACAATAATTTCAAGACCATGTCGAAGATGGTGAAGGAGGTCATCGGGAATAAAGGGTATCGGATATTACTGGTTGAGGATGATGAAACGAATCGCATGGTATGTTGCTATGCATGGCTTGCCTATTCCTCATCTACAAAATGACTGACAAGATTGTAGGTCATGCTGAAGTATCTTGATAAGATCAAGGTCATGGCCGAGACTGCAACCAACGGGCAAGAATGCACAGAGCTAGTGTTCTCCAAGGAACCGGGTTACTATTCTCTGATCATTGTAAGTAGAAAAATCCATTGACTTGCCTGTCATATGATCCGCAACTGACACGGTACTTGCCAGTGTGATATCCAAATGCCGGTCAAGAATGGCTACGAAACATGTCGTGAGATCCGCAAATGGGAATTGAAGAATCACTATCCCCAGATTCCTATTATGGCTCTCTCCGCTAATGCGATGACCGATCAAATCGAGAATGCTGCACGTGCTGGCTTCAACGATTATGTGACGAAACCTATCAAACACAACGAACTAGGAAAGATGATGATGGGACTTCTCGCCCCTGATCGCCCTTTGCTTCTTCTTCGCGATCGTCTAAAACCTGATCACGACGGTCATTTGTCCGATGCATCGCACTCTCAGTGAGCAGTTGTCGTCCGGAATTCAGGTCATGCTGAGACGTGCTCGTTTCCCTGCGAGACTACGATTCTAATTTTCAATCTTCACTTAACGGGATGCTATTGCCCGTACGACTTTGGGTTTAGTTGCTTTTATGTATTATTTTGGTCTGGGTTGAGGGTATGCAAGGGCAAGAAAGCCATCGGTCGGAAAGGCGCTTTGGAGAATTTGTTTTCAAATATTTCATCCGTGTCTCCTCTCCCGTCCCCGCAACTGTGGATTGCTATTTGGCATTTGCATCGGCTGCGAGTCCAATTTGATACCTTTTCAGCATCATGGTGCCGAGGAATCAGGCTCATCGTTCTTGAGACCATTCGAGCTTGTGCATGGCGTCATTTCTCGAGTTTGTACTGGCGAAAATTCTAATGTTTCCGTTGCTCGGACTTCATTCTGCGCGGTTTGCTTTTAGATACCACTTTACAAGCGCTTTTGTTTTTGCCTCCAGGGATTCATTGTATGTGCAAATGGTTGAGAATTGAAATCCCTTCACTCTTGTTCTATAGTATACTACTTGCTGAATAGACAAATTTGTATAGTGATATACCCAATTGGCTACTCATCACTCACCTGTCCCTTTTTTTCATTTCCTTGAAGAAGCCGTATGAGTTCGCAGTATGGCCTATCGGTGGATATCTGTTCGAGGAACCTGTTTCACTCGAAGAGACTCTGCGTCCGATGCATACGCTACCTGAATCCAATCTGTGACAGAATTATCAGTTGATAAAGTTGCTTTCCCTTTCCTTCGGAAACTAGGGTCAGATGACAGGCATATTCCTACGACAGGATGACCTCAGGGCCTCACTTTGTGACTCGCACTGTCGTTGAATAGTCCAACCGAAAACTCTCATGCCGGCTTTACTGCGTCTCCCCTGCAAGTCGTGCTCAGCCTGTGGTACCGGACAATGTTCGATTGTCAGATGGACCCAACCGTCCATCCCATTCTGCCTTTTGGATTTTGAGTTCTGATCCCACGAAGAAGGTAAACGCAGACTGTTTCAGTTCCTGTTTCACTCAGCGAGAGGTCCTCGAATCGAAGACCGAGTCCGAATCCGCCGATATGTCAGATGTCCCTATACTCCTCCCCCGGATCTCACCATGTGGTCAAGGCAGGCGGCAGAGGAAAACTCCGATTGATGAAGTTGACAATGTCTGTGTAACTGCTGGCTCAGGTGATGCGCAAGAGGAACTGGGTGTTGCCTAGAAGCCGGAGGCGTGTAAGCGGAATCAGAAGTGGATAGGGCAATGAAGGATGTTGTCATGGTCCTTCCTTGTGTGCGTTCCGTTCTGCCTCCTTGCTTCTTCAGGACTTAGCGGTGCCCTGCAGATGCAGATCTAGGATGTTCGGACTGACTGACCGATACCTTGTCTTGTCAGCTGAGTTCGGAATGACGTTTGTCCTACCAGTTCTGTACGCGATTTCTAACAGCTGTACCAATACTGGCCGAAACTCGTGGTTTCTGATTACCTGTAGCTAACAGAAGGTTAGAACTGCAGGCGCGTATCTGTTGGCCATTCAGCGAAAATACTGATCCCGGTCAGAAGGCCATATTGAAGGTTCTGTTCCATTTTTAGACCCTAGATCGCGGAGGTTGAAATCAGGTCTTCGCGGCTGGGAGAGCTTCCACACAATCGCGATGTGAACAGTAGCCCAAATGAGTCACGTATATGTTCTAGATAGCCAGTCCAAGTATAGAGCCCCGCCTGATTTGGTACAGTCGTTGTTGATTTCACATAAATAAACATGGCCTCGATCGAGTGTATTCTAGAAAGGACAGGAGGAAAAGGTATTAGCATTGGCTTCTGTATCCATGATACCTAGCGCGTTGGAGAGCCGATTGGTTGAAGCTGTATCGGGGCTGCTTGTGGCGGTGAGAAAGCGAAGGCACGATAGGCGAGTTCGACCCAACCCCACATTCACGACTTCCCAGCTGCATATTGGGCGAGCAAGTCTATGATCGTTGAGTGGAACTGAAATTGCTTCGCAGGGTACAAGAACCCGTCTTGCCGGCAACGAAGCACCTTTCCTGCATGCTCCAGCCCGTAAGAACAGACGGCCTCCATCCAAGGACACAGACCTCGGCGAGAATATTGGACCAATGTGAACACAGTCCGTAAATGAATTGTTACTTTCCCAGATTGACGGGAAACGATCCAATGGCCGCGTCAAACCGACAGCTCAGGTAAAGCTAGATAGGTCAAGTTGAGTGAAAATGGTCCGCCAGAGCCAACGAAAGTGCGGCCGGCCTCAGGCACGTTGAAGCCCCTTCTTTGAGCACCGTCTCCATCAGCGCCTGGGATAAGAAAGGTAGGACCAGGAGGAAATCGATAAAGGAAGAAGCAGGAAAACTAGCCGGTACTAGGTACTGCAAATGATAAAAGTGTGTCATGTGTTGGGCCTCATCTGTGCACTTGCAATCCGGTCGCCAAACTGTGGACTACCCGGGCAACAGCATGGGGCTGCCTTTATTTTTTAGGCATACACTTGCTATTGTCCCAAAAGGATGAAGATCAGCCTAGCCAAAGACATGAGGCATCAGGCATTTGCAGTAAGGCACCAAACTTGTAGAGTAATGACGATGAGCACATTACTATCAGAGCGAATGAAGGTCAGGCTTCACTTGGTGTTAATCCCGAGTGGCTACGCTGTCGCCTCGTCCAAGCCAGCGGTCCAGTCCGACATGGGAGCGATGCAATCAATTCGGTTGGTGTGCCAAGTCAATCCATGTTGTCATGTCAGCAGCGAAGATATTTTGTAAAGTGGCATTTCGTCCTCTTGTATCGTATAAGAATTATGGCTGTTGTTTGATGGACCTTTACCTTTCCAGGCCTTCGAGAGCGTTCGATCGGTTGGGTCTTTCTCGCCCTGCTGCTGTCTGCGACCTGCATGTACTTAGATGACTATTATTTTCATCAGATCCACTTCCATCCATATGTAGTCATGTTGATGGCGTTTAGGGCGCTTGTCACTGCCTGAATTCTTCTCTTTCAATGATGTGACGCTCTTTTCACAGGTATTGATGGCACAGAGCCGCGGATAGGCGGATCGCTGGATCATCACAGGACGCAGCTTTTCGAATAATCCTCCAGGTCCTTCATCAAATTAAGAACAGGCGAATTAAACTTTTTGGTAGCACGATCTTTGATGGAAAACCTCCGCAGCAGAATTCACCCTATTTCCGGTTTGAAAGCGAGGCAAGGCCACCTTGGTTGCTTCGATAAGGCATCCCTGACAAATTATTTCCACGAGTATTGTCGGCCTTTCGTCAATTCATGCAATGGTGTCCAACGCTTATCGTCATTATTTTCTTTTCGAAATTTTCTGTTTTCCCCGTCAGCCGGTCATCGCTTTTATCCTCAAGTTAAAAGAGGATGACTTATGAGACTAACTGAGCAGCAGGGGCGAATCCATAAAAGAATGGAGACGACCAAAACTCCCGAGCAAAAATAGCTGAGCGTCTCCAAGCACACTGGAGTTAGTTTCCACCATCTACAGGCACACCACTCCGTCATGAATGACAGCACTGTATCCTTTGGGTGGGCAATATATTTCCCACATATTGTCAATGACTGCCACTCGGAATCGAATGAGCAGCAAGATATTGCAAACGCGGTGGTAGCATCAGGGTTGAGTATTTCGTTTCTGCTGCAGCTCACAGTCTCGTAGTCATGCAACCCTCATCATGCTAGGGCTTCGTCAGTCGACATCCATGTTGTTCTTCCAGCCACCCAGCCTCCTGATTTTGGTGCAATATGAGAGTCAATGACCGAGATGATGGGAAACGGACTAAGCGAGTCAATTTTTTTTTAAATTTTTTCCCCCCCATTAAAGTGAAGAGAAAATGGGGAAGAGATATCGAATGGGTGTAAGAAGGTGCGGCAGGAAGGTGAAGGGGTAAAGAGAAAGGTAGGAAGAAATTTAGTCAGAGCTTCCGCTGAGAGCCACGGAAGTTGGCATCTTTATAACCTCAAGTCACTCTTCACCAAGGCCTGCACTCCACTGCCTCCAATACATCCCAAGACACAGGGCGGGAAATTGATTATCATAGAAATTCAATGCCCGATTGTATCGTTGCCACAGACAAGCGGAAGGTGATCCGTATGGATGAGTATTAAGAGGGCTGGGCCAGTCTCCGTGTATCGGAATCTCCTCTCTTGAGTTTCGTCTTTCCACCCTAAGCGGGGTCGTCTCGGGAACAGGAGCGAATTGGCGGCCAGTGATTGAGTAACAGGCGGAATTGGGAGGTTAGGATTGGGGGAAGAAGAAGAGTTGGAAGGTCGAAGGTTGAGGGGGACAAGGAGAAGAGATTCCGGAAAGGGACAAATGCCTAAAATCTCCAATCCGCCATCACATCATCCTCGACCTCTCCCCACACCCCCTTTCCCCCTTGTCCATGGGTATGGACTTCCTCAATGGATCTTCCACCGGATGGATGACCTTCCGTCGAGGGCTATAAATACCCTCATCTTTTCTTTCATCATGGATCTTCCTCCTCCTTCCCTTTCCATTCCTCCCTCCCAGCTCCGGAACTTCAACCCAAGCTTTACTATACTTCTTCCTGGTCTCCGTCATATCACATCACTAGACATCTTCGCCCTCTGAACAAGTCAAAGTTCTCCTTGTGCATCAAGTATCCTTTGTGCTCGCCTCCGTGCTCGACTCCTCGCTGTCCTGTCCTGCACAACTTTCAGTCTACCCTTCCCTGTGGAGACACTCATCATATCAGAATGGCTACCCAGCGTTACCAGCCTGCTGCTCTTCCCATCAATGTGCCATCAAAAGCACCGGCTCCGGCGAGCCTCTTTCCTATCAGTCGGATCTCTGGATCGCCCCCAGACATTTCTGACACTAGCACCACCACGGGAAGCCGTGTCTCTGGTTTCAGTTACGGCAGCGGTGCTCTCAGCGGTGACTATGAGTCAAGCTCGGCATCTTATTCGGGAATCGACGTCGTGGAAGTCCTGAGTGA